CGTATTTTTTTGTTTGGGAAAAGAAACTAATTAGCCAAATACAATTAGGTTTTTTATGATCTAAAACTTTAATAATGACAATCTTCCATTTAAAATGACCACTGTGCAATAAGTATAATATATAGCTGATAAATAAAGCATATAAGTTATAAATAATTCTTGTATACCTGCATAAATACGTCCAAGAATAAGTATCTATGAGTATAGTATAAAAACATGAAACAGAAAAATGAACTGAAAATTAAATTTCTTACTGGAAGATACAACTGAGACAATCAGGTAAAATATTTTTCTCTTCAAAACAACATTTTATCACCGAACACTTTCGAACCGAATATTTTGCCACCCACTCCCAAAAAATCGATTACCCACATTGCTACGCCATTGTAGTCAATTATACAAAATATTTATCCTATGGCTATTTTTATACATTGTTATGCTCATCAATTGAATTGAGTACTACTTCGTGGCGCAAAATCAATAAAATATGTTAAATTATTCATAACAAACCTTAACATGTTCCACACATTTTTTAGTAAATCCTCTAAAATAAGTGTTTTATTAAGAGAGCAAAGATTTGAATTATCAAATTCATGCATACACGTTGTAATTGTCATCCTAGAGCTGATTTAACTATAAAAACTCATTTCAATGCACTACAAAATGCCATATCTCAAGTAATTGATGACCCTGCTGGGATTCTACTTCTGTTTGTACTGATCTGATATATTGAGCATTATGAACAATTCAAAATTTGTTTACTTATTGGTACTTTTTAGTAAAATATTTATATTTACTGATCACACGTTTTGTATTCTACAAAATAAATCAACTACTGATATTAAATATTGTGATAATGAAATTAAAAGTCGTATTTCACGATTGAAATATTGGAGAAATGAAATTTCTATACAATGATGTAATAAAATGTTCTATTGAATTAAATTCAGATTTAAAGTATATAAATGAGGAAAAAGCTAATTTACGTCGACTTACATATGAAATTATTGATTCATTAATTATTCAAATAAATATTATGTTTAAAGATTTTGAAAAACTGGAGTTTGTTGAAATAACAAATGAAAAAAATGTTTGCATCATATAAAGTTCATTTTCTAGAAGAAAAATTGAGACAACTTTTTAAACACTATTCAGATATTTTTGATAAAGATCGTCTAAAAAATGAGCTTTACATAATATGCAGATCCATTGAAATATTTTGCTCCTTTGGAATTAATTGATTTTTATATTTATAAGTTAGAATCTCAAAAATTTCTTAAATATTTTTAATAATTATTCAAATAAATTATAAATATTCTTTTAAACGAGATCCAAGAAGTATATCAAGAAGTTACAAAACTTATTTAATTAGTATTGACTATTCCTGCAACAACAGCCTCAATATCAAAAATATATCAAGATATTGCACATATTCACGATAAGCTTATGGAAAGGTTGGGTGAATTTTCAATACTTACCCCAAAAAATTCCAATTGGCTGTTATTAATGATACTTTGCTAATGTATTTTGTGAATCAAGGAATAGTATTGATACTACACAATATTAATATATGAATAAAAATTGTTGTTTCGAATGTTTTCGATGTATTGAATCATTTGTAATTATCATTTATCATTGCAATAATACACGGATACACAGTTATAATATATGAACAAAAATTCAACAAAGTGGTAGTGTCCATTGGTCGATACCTAAGCTCTAGCAGGGGCCCGTTAAAATTTAAATTTTTTTGTAGGTCCGAAACAGTCATGATTTAAAAGTTGTTTTTTTATAAACCCGGGCCCCTCAAAAATAGGTTTAGGGTCGGGCCCCCAACAAATACCCGAGAAAACCTGTCTGAGTACGGCCCTACATTCAATCGTCGTATTAAAATGATACGTATACAAAAAAAAAATAAAAAAATTTCCAAGATAATAAAAAAAATAAAACGATATTTTAAATTAAAATTAAAAATGTAGCTATCGTTAGCAAGACTAAGCATTATGACAGGGGGGGCTAGAATTCATATTGGGGGATTAGCCCCCTAATTCCCCCCTAGTTACGCCTATAACAATATGTAACTAATCATAATTGATTTTGGAAAAAATTAATAATTGCCTTTTATATTTATTGGGTGTGGAACATGGGCGCAACTAGAGCCCAAATATTTGAGGTGCTGAAAATAAAATTAAATGGTATTTAACTGTAATTACTAAATATTATATAAATCTGAAAAAAAACAGGTGTGCTAAATTTGAACTCAGGGATGCTAAAAACCCTATTGCGCCTCCCTAGTTGTACTTATGGTGTGGAACATACTATGAACTAAAGCGTAAAGCAGAAAGTATGGAGGAATGCTGACAACCAGCCCTTGCGCTGTTAACACAAAAAAAAAATTTGATTATTGCTAATGTAACCATCGTAGAACGTGATGTTGATAGAAGATACAAATCAAGACGGCTGCCGTATATTGCTTAACCGTCCAGATCTTACTATACAATATTTTGAATGGTGTATATTTTAGATTATTGTACACAAATCCTCATTCGTACGGCCTACAGTGTTACAGCAGTTTGATCAAATATTCGATTACTTAAAAAACAATTTAAAACAAGAACTACGTGTTGGAGATATGACTACCACAATCAGAAATGTCGATGATGATATGATTTGAAACCATGTCCCGAAGACTAAATGCTATTTTGTGAGTCAGCTCAAACTATATGCATCTAAGCAGTTGGCAGAACAGTGTGTGATGAGTAGCTCGGTGGTGTAGTTTGATCAGGCCCTATTTTTATGTGCACCACGAATGTATAAGTGTGCACTATGGTCTACAAAACAAAAATTAAATAATAAGCCAACTACTAGGAAATATGAGTATTAGTGAATTTTTTAACATGTTATGCATATATATATATATATATATATATATATTATGTATGTAATATATTCCTTTTTCTAAGACAATAGCGAGACTAAATTTTCATTTAAAGCAGTAAAATCAAGTGAGCAGTTCGAAATTGTACAAATAATAGGGCCTGAGCTCGATGAATATAATTCTATGACTGTTAGAACCCTATTATCCTGGTCGCCTATCTCAATTTTCATCACACACTATTCAGTAAACTACAACGGAAAAAAAAGAAAATACTACGTAAAGGAGCAAAATTGAAAAAAATATAGATAGCTCATGTAAACAATTGGGCGGCGAAAATAAGAAAAAATAAAAATACTGGATGGGGTATAACATAGATAGGTTACGTAAATGATTGGGCGTCAGCGGATGGAAGGTGGCTGTGACCATAGTCGTATTTAGATTTACTTCTAGGGGGTGGGTGACTGAAATTATTTCTTTAATTCAGGCTCAAAATTTACAAGTAAAATTTTTGGTAATAGGTATTTGAATTAGGCGAATGCTTAATATTTGTGGTTTTTTTTTTAATCTAATGCCGTATCCAATTACAATCGACTTTTGTGTAGTTCTTTTTTTAAACCTGTATGTGTTTTGAAATTTACGCTTGTGTTTTATTTGATTTTTCACTGAGTATGGACCCGACAAAAAGCCCAGTTCATTAAAATCAACATTGACCGTGATGTTACCATTAATTATTGGTACTGATACTGATAAAATATAATACATACAAAATCATACGCGTCCGTTCGCCTTCAACTATTACATTTCAAAATGTTTTTTTTTGTAATTTTTCTTATCACTCATTCATATTTTATAACAAATATTTTTGTAGAAAATCAAAATTGTTAGATATTTCGATTTTGTTATTAAACGATACACATTAAAAAAAAATTGTAATGTGCTTCTCACATATAATCGATTCCTTAAATACGGATTCATGATGGTGGGGGGGGCGATTGCCCCCTAAAATACGCCCCTAGCTATGACAGCAACTGGAGGATTGATGAAGGTGGCCCAGAAGCTCCTATTTATATATACTTATTCAACTAGTTAATTTATCATGACAATAATATTAAGGATTTTCCACCCAGAGTTTAATAAAATACAAACATACACTATAAAAGTCTCATTCAGTACAATACGCTGTCCTGAAATAGATTGGAACAGCGTACGCAAAATTGTTATTGTGCCAGTTAAACCAGGATGGATAGCAACTCTACTAGAAAGTTAATTTTATACTTGTTTATTATACAATAAATAGTGCATAAATAGTATATATTAATTACATTTGATCTATTAATGATATAATTTTGTAGCTCTAGTAGGTGAAAATAAATCAATTAATTAAATAATACATTAGCAGCAGTATATTGACATAATATTACTCCTGGAAAATATATGATTAGAAGTTAAAAAGAATAACATATGAAAAAGAAATTTTAAATTTAAAAAAATTAACAATTGAAAAAACCAAATTAAATAAGTTAAGACAATAACAAATAAAATATATTCTATAATTTAGAGTATGGGTCATTATTTTTAATAATTATTCATTTCTTTATTTTTATTTTTTTCATAAGAGTGTCTACACATATTTATAAGTATGTTTTGTTAATTACTGTAGGTACATATACAAAAATACATTAGTAGAAATTTCACTTAATTATATTCAAATATTTACTTATATCTATTCCAAAATATTGGATTCTCTAATAGAGTAAAAAATTTATTTTAAATAAAAATATAGGCTTTTATATTATTATATTTATCATAAAATCATACCACCTTGCACATTATACGTCTTATAGTATTTAACAAAATGTTTTGAATCCTAAAAAAACATTTAGAAACACTCAAATATATAAACATGTTAATTTACATAATTTGTGTGCAATGGTGTGATAAATTGTATTATAATGTTTAAAGCAAGCTTTTAAAGAAATTAAAAGAATGATGAACATAAAGCTTTAATAAAACCAACTTAATACATCAAATTTCAGTTACTGTTTATGTCAATAATTTTAATAATAAATCATATGATTATGTTTTAAAAAACACTAAAATTTAAAATTTCAGAGAAGCCTGATATATCATATAATTTGTATATGCACATAAGTTGATCACAATGATTCTCAATTATAAAAAAATCATTGAGTTTTTATTTTCTATGGTAATTAATTAAAAAATGTCTACCAAACAAAAATAAGTTTTACATATTTGTCTATAGAATAATTACCAAAATTAACCCATTCACAGCCAGAATACTTTTTATAGAAAATATTAATACAATATTTTATTAAAGGATTTTTTTTGTTTAGGCACTGAGTAGTTATGTTCCCTTTGAGGTGTAGCTTTTTCATGGCATATTGTATAACCACCCATTGCTTTGATCTGAAACATATAAATAAGTTATGGTATAGTCAAAATAATATAAGACAAAATAGCACAATACTGAACAAATATCCAATATCAGTTGAATTTCAATTCTACTCAATATATTAACAGTACAATTATAGGAATAAAATGTCATCCTAAGATTAATATTTTATACATTTATACACTTATAATATTTAAAATTAATCAATTGAATTTTTTTTCACAATGAATAAACAAATATAAGTTATGATATAAAAAAAAAAAATTAATATTAGTTAATAAAATACTTACTTTTTTAAAAGATTTATTTTTTCTTTGTAAAAGAGGGTGTTTTAAATTATATTGCGTTTTCAATATTCTAGCTTTAATAAGTTCTTTTTTACCATTTTTAAGGTACTTACATTCATCTGAAAAATAAACATACTTAACTATAAAATTTATAAAATATTATAAAAAATTTACCACAGCCAAAATTTATATATCCCCTATTTTCAAGATATGTATGAATTTGTCCTATTTCTTTAGCTGTACCACTTTTCTTTAACTTTTGTTTGGCAATTGTTTTTGATACATAAGATGGTTTATTTGCTTTCCATAATTCTAATATAATATTTCTAATCTATAAATAAATTATTGATTTTAAAACCAAAAATAATTTCTTAGTAGATAAAATATCTAATCCTAGCAATACTAACTTTTAAATATTTCTTGTCATCTCTTTTACCAAATAAGTTTGGATGATAATACCTTTCATCTGCTGTAATTATATTAATATCTAGATTTCTTTCTTGTGTAGGTGCTGGTAAATTGTCAATATCCCTTGTAAAACCATGCGATACAACAGATTGCCATTCATCAATAATATTGTTTGATTCTCCATCCATTATATCAATTTCTGATTCTGAGCTAGAATCATTTCGAACTCTAACTATTTCTTCACCATTTGGTAGTATAAATACATCATTTTCTTTGTATTTATTAAGAATTTCACGATATTTTGATTCGTCACAAACATCTTCAGATAAACGTTTTTTTAATCTTCTTGAATCATTTTTACAGACACTCTACAATATGTAAGATATAAATAGATATTGAACATTTAAAACCATAGTTTTACACGAACACTTACATGTTCAGAATTCCAATCATCTGCCAGTTGGATCAACCATTGAGGACTAATTGGATTATACGACCTAAGGATGAATAAATACTTTCTTAACTAACCTATTCATACAATCATACGATTAGTTGCTTACGTTGAATTGATTTTGTTCCACGGTTCATACAAGGATTCCAAATAATCGAAACTACATTCAGTGATCACATCTATTATTTCGTCGTCCATCACTTAAAATCTGGATGTCAACATGCGAATGAATTATAACCGGAAAAGCTATACGTATTTCTTTTTGTAGTTAGAGTTTTAATTCTCTAAGAGTTAATGAACCAGATTAATCCAAATTTTTACTAATTGCTACCACATGCACGTAGCATGAAAGTACTAGCAGGTACACGGGCCAGGCCAACGTGGACACTACAGTCAGCAGTACAGTAAAAGGCGAAAGGGAAAATGAAGACATGTGAATCCAACGAACTGAATCAACATAGCATCGAAAGTATTGTAAACGTTTGGTTGCCGGTCACGTTACTGACTTCAGAATTATCATATAAAATTCAATGGTGATAACACTCACAATACAATCAATAAGAGATACTAGATAATTTAGATAGGTCTTAACACTGGTGGTCGTATTATATATTATGGATTTTATGATTACAAAATTACACACGTAACGTCTGTTTAGATTGAAATTAAGAATTACGAATTATTTAAATTTTTAAAAATTGTTGGTAATTTTTTCCAACTGCCATAACTTCAACACATCATATAGCAGTTTCTACGGTAAGTGCCGTTTTAATAAAGGAAAAATGCTAAAAAACATTCGACATGGACCTATGAGTAATTGTTAAAAATAAATGCTTTAAATAAATTCGTCGGTTTTTACCGAAAACCATAGACATAAAGATATCTTTATATGTCTATGACAAAAACGCATACATTACTATAAGAAACGATAACCGTCATGTATCAAATCAAACTAACAGAAATTAATACCATCCTTAGTTTTGCCCGATGTATTTATTTATGACGATGAAAACGGTTATGTGCAGGGCTCGGAAGTTCTAGCCAATGGATATTTTTCTTGGTTCATCCTAGAACATCCAAAGTAAGATACAAATATGTTTGAAATATTCGGATATCATACACAAAATTTAATTTTGCTATTTTTTGCTTAATTACGGGTTTTATTGCTATTTTGCTAATTTAGAGTTTATAGTGTTATTTTCCCGTATATTTTCACTTATTACAGGAAATAATCACATTTTGTTGATAATAATTGTATTTTTAAAAATATTTGAATTATTGGAAATAAATAGACCTCATCTAATATTATTTGTGTTTTCATCGACAATTTTGATGTATTAATAGTTAGTGGAGTGGCGCATTTAAGGGGGAAGCAAAAGGGGCAAATGCACCAAGCGGAAAATTTTTGGGAGCGGCAAAATATTCTAACTTTTATTATTCATGTATTCATGAATTTTTTTTTAATTTTCACACCTTTTTTGGTATTGTTAAGTATTTTAAAAAATATTGTTGAGCATCTATTTTGAAAAAGCAAAATAGATATATTACATTTATTATTCGATAAGATATAATATTTTCGTTCAATGTTTATTATAAAGACTCGGGTACACAGAACGCGGTATTCACTTTAGGGCACATTTAAAAAGTCTACAAAAGAAGTAAAATTGTACCTTAAATGTATGTTAGCATTTATAAAAGAAAATAGTTTAGTTGAAGTATATCCTTATATTGATATTCCTCTAACTTATCAATAATCCTTAGAACTTCTAAGGATACTACTATGTATGTATGTACTCCTTCAAGTAATTGTTCAACGGAAAAATAATTTTCTACATTAAAAAGGATCAAAACTTATTTAAGATTGACAACGGGAGAAAATCAATTTAATTATTTAAAAATCCTCAATATTGAAGCTGATTTAACGAAAACTATTAATTTTAAGGATATTATAAAACATTTTTCTTCTCAAAAGTCAAGAAAAAAATTAAAAGCTATCGATTATTTTATTATATATAATTAATAATGAATATAATATATTTAATCTAATAAAAAAACCATGTATTGTGAATCATTGTGCATATAACAAGTGTTGAATCCGTTTTCTGTATTTAATATATATATAATTTTTTTAAGAAACGAATTTTCACTTTGAAAAAAAAAAAATTTGGTTAACTTTAGGATTTATATATTACTATAAAATTATCTAATACAATTTCGCAAAACAACTGATTTATAATCTATTTCATAAAATTAATTTTTTTATTCCTTAATTTTGAATTTATTTATATTTATATGTATTTTTTTTTTTTTTGGTAAAGGGGAAGGGCGGAAAAATTATTTTGCCATGGTGCGTGTATATATTAAATGCGCCACTGAGTTAGTGATGTTATTGTTATTCCCTTATTATATCATTGCATTAGTTTATCAAATATTTTAATAATCCGGGATAATTTCCTAGGTAAAATATATACATATTAAATAATTTAATATACACAATTTTACAAATATATTTAAGTAATTTATCATTTTATAATTCAGCCAGTCCAGACTGTGTCTATGAGCTCAAAAATTTCTAAAATTACATTTTTTCCCAATAAATTTATAATTTTTTCAAGTTAAATGCATATTTTTTGATTTTTCGAGCCTTTTATAGCACATATTTTAGAGTTTAAGAGCTAAAAAGTAACATTTTTAGTGCTACAACTTCCGAGACCTGGTTATGTGTTATTAGCAGAGCTCGAAAGTTCATGCACTAAAAAACACTTAAATAAGCATACAATAATGCACTAACATTTGATGAAATATGCATTAAAAATTCTTAACTATGCACGAAAAAAAACGTATAAGGATTTTTTAAAATAATAAAAATTATTCATTCATATTTTTAAAAGTTATATTTTTTCTTCGGTTACATTTTATTAAAACTTATTATAGAATACACGTTGCGGCGAAAATAGATAGATTGCAATGGACACGTCAATAGGAAGAAAGTGGTAGTGGTGCGCTATAATATTGTTTTCGTGGTACTGCTTTTAACTTTTAAAATTTAATGTCATTAAAAAATAAAAATATTGATAAAATACTAAGATTTTATGAATAAGTTTGGAAAAGTAAATAAGAATGAATTCAAACATTTATTGATCCAATTTGTTTTTGACTTCCACAAAAACGATTTCGCTGAATTTACATAAAATGCGCTCAAAAAACTAAAAAAAAAAATCAACTATATGCCAAATGTGCCAATACATACTACATATGCAAAAACATGCTTTATTAAACTTTAGATTTTTATTACCATTGTTATGAAACGGATTTTTATCTCATTTAGCATATTTTTCGATGTAGCAAAGAAAACATGCGAATGCATGAACTTACAAGCCCTGGTTATTAGTGTTTTGAGGGGCATAATACTGACGTATTTAATCGTATTTATTTTTTTTTATTATTTGTTCCTACTGCACATTATATTTATATAGCCTGTAGTAACTCAAAAAATTGACTCTTTTTAACTGTGGGAGTTGAATCAGTATTTCAAGAATCGGCGATTCAGTTAAACCACGTATAAAAATTCAATTCACGAACCGGTAATGATTAACCTCGCTAATTAAACTGGTACACGACTATCGTCCATTGTTGATAACAACTACACATATTAATATCATTATACTCTATATGATAACTTTTTAAACTAACTGAGTTGAAAGATTTGATTAACCAAAACGAGTTTAAATTCCTATCCCTAGTTCTATATCAAAAACATTGTAAAACATAAAAATCATAAAAACAATATTTGAAAAGAAACAAATATGTAAAATGTGGTGTCAAGTAAATTTTATAATGTAGCTCTATGATCTCTATAATACAAAATTGATCGATACCAAAAAGATATCTAAATGAAAGGTGAAAAAATAAATTATAACTCTTTGTCATATATCAATCAGACACATTATTGTGGGTAAATGGCAAATCACTGAACATATTTGTATATTAAAAAACCAATACAATACAAATAAATGATGAAAATACAAACTTTTTTACAATTTATGTTTTCATAAAGTTGAATACAGTCACACTGATTTAATATCTGATTGCACACATATTATTTTTTAAACTACAATTATTATTATATATATATATATATATATATATATATATGTTATGTATACATTCTTTCTCACACACACGCACACACAAGTATATATTTAAAAGAATACAAAATAAATTATTTCTACAGTAAGATATTTAAAATGCCATCTATTGATAATATGTAAAACATAAGGGAAAAAATAATGGTTTAAATATTTTAACTATAAAATAGCACAGCATCCTTATTTGAACGTACTCTTACATAATAATGTAGCATATTATATTCATAACTAATAGTAATAAGAATAATACATTTAATGACAAAAATATTACACAAAATGTATAAAAATAGATAACAAATGTATTAAAAAGTATAATATATTTACACATGAATTTAAAGAATGATAAATGACAGAAGCTATAATTTTATTTGTAGCAAATTAGTTCTGAATTTATCTTAACACAATTATGTGACGTAATATTATTAAAAAAATTATGTTACTAAGTAAATTATTAATTTACTTATTTTTATTATATTATTATAATTGAGGACTACAGAATAAATTGAGCCTCCTTATAAAACATTGATTTTTAAATTAAACAAAACTGATTAACAGTATTGAAAATTAAATTATTAAAATATTGGCACTTGAGTTTTTGTATAAAGATTAATATTAAAATTCGCATATGCACCCTGTGTAAGGTTATTTTATTTAAGTAAAAAAAAAAAAAGAACGGTTTTTAGTTACATATTATCTTTTACATTTTTTTTCATTAAATACACCCTTTGAACGTTATGTAAAAAAATTATTGATAATGTAACATACTTTTTATATTAAATGCTTTAAATAACAAGTGTAATTTATTTAATCTTTCATTGTATATAATGCACTATAATTTACAATATCTTCACAAAAACATAAGTTATTTTTAAATCAGGATGTCATTAGTTATAATAATATAATTAAAAATTAAAAGTATTAAATGCATTATAGGATAGACAATACAAAATTTAAAAAAAAAACAGGAGTATTTAAATTAAATATTAATATTTTTGTAGTTAGTTATTTTATAATATTCTAGTACAAATAATAATTAAATAATGATATCCATAAAAATTTAAATAGTCATGTTTAATTTTTATAAATGGGTATTTTACTAAATAAATTAAAATAGTTTATTTCTTTAAAAAAAAAAATAATATGGTTAAAATAAAAATTAGTTAAACATGGAGAATCCATAAAAAATATGTTTTGATAATTATTTTAACCAACAGCATTAAAAACTAAAATAATAATTGTATTACAATCTTAATGTTAAGATATATTTTATGAGCAAAAGCAAATAATCAATGTTCGTTGTTTAAAATATATATAAATTTAATTAAAAAGACATAATAAAAAAATGTTGATAAACCAATCGTATCTTATATTGAATACAATAATTTTTCAGTATTTATTTCATACAAATCCTCTCTTACATAATTAACTTGTAATTTTTATTTTTTAAATTCAACATGTTATAAAATGTATAGTTAACTTAATCTCTATAGTAAAAATTACAAAGATCATTATTAGTTCTATCAAAAAACATAATCTTTTCATGAAACACCTTTTATATAACTCCAAAGACAAGGCATAAATAAATAATTTACAATAACAAAATGTTCCTACTAATAGTTCTTGTTACATTAACAAATTATTGTAATGCTTGTTAAAGGACTAGAGATTCATGGGATAATTTAATTTATATTGGAAGCTCATATTAAGAAGTTTTTGATTGAGCTATTTAATTAATCAATTAATTAATTAAATATTTGTATTAAACAAATTATTTACTCAACCAAAAAAAGCAGTATTTTATTAACATTTTTCTTGAGTATAAGTATTCAAAATGAAATGAAAAAAAAAATTGTGTAGCAAATAAAGAGTGCTAAGTAAATAGAATTAATAATATAATTCGTACAAAATTAAATGACGAATACAAATCGAGGGAATAGAGGAACATAACTTAATATATTATATTGATAATAAAAATTAAAAAACACACACACTGAAGACTAGAGAAAAGTAGAATTGAAACCACTTTGAGCATGTTATTTTGCTATTTAATATTGTAGGTTGTCATAAATTTAGTCAATATAAATTAATCAAAACTAATTTATCTCAAAGTCTCTTAAAATTGATTTTAATAATCATAGTACCAAACAATTTAGTCGTCATCATTTATATCCACATCTTTGGTATCTACATCATTTTGATCGTTATTGGTAATAATAAGAGAATCTCCATTATCTTTAACTGAGTCTGTAACATCCTCGGCAGCTCGAGCTTCTAAAGTTCTAATACGGTTTTCATGTTTTACAATCATAGCTTTTAACTTTCGAATTTCCTCTTTAAATTCCTTCACAATATCATCCTAAAAAATTATAGAAATTAGAAAAGTAATTAATTTTAGATACAGTATTTATAATTGCTCATTTATAAGCAAATCCTTTTTATGAAAAAAAAATGTATTTGTACTTTTAGTTTTCATATAAATTATATAATTTTTACTTACTGGAATTGATTGCTGTGGCTGTATAAATTGTGGTTTAGCCACTGGTGTTGTAAGATTATTAGGACTTGATTTGGTAGATTTATTAGTTGATGGTTTATCTAAAATATTTGGCTTTTTTGCTACTTTCATTTCAGAAGCAGTTGGTAATCGTGTTGGCTGATGATAGTCCTTTAATGATATTAGTATTGGTTCAGCATCTTGGCCATTGAACCAGTCTTCAGCATCTATTGAAGGAATATCTCCAATAGTATCTGGATATAAATCTTCTTGGAATAATTCTGACTAAAATATAATAAAATATTGAAATTATTATTTATAATAAATTAAAATAATAAATATTTACCTTTCGTGGGACAGTCATACTGATAACTTGACAAAGTCCTGAATTATTTAAACGATAAAATTTTGATATTTCACAAATGGATACATCGCAACCACGTTTTGGCATCATACCAATTCCTCGTTGAGGGTCTGGAGTTTGGAACGTATTAATGTAATGAACAAATGGATGTTCTCCGGTAATCTCAAAATATCGAATAACACTATCACCCTAAAAATATATTGCAGTTGGATTTAATATATGTAAATGTTATATATAATAATATCTTTACCTTGCCACACAAGTAAATCATACTTGTATCCGGATCATACAGAGGAAACATAACTCCATTGCTAGTGTCTAATTCAACCATAACAATAGGATCATCTAGTTTTTCAGGAGACCGCAATGAATACTGTCTTTCAGAAAGTTTACTAAAGCCAGTTGTAAAAATTAGGCCACCTTTTAAAAATATACCTCTTGATGCTTTACTTCCTTCATGACATATTACTTCCTACAACATTAATGAATATAGATAATTATGTTCAGTTACTAATATTTAAATTACATACCTGTTCAACTTCTCCACTCCTAGGATTAATTAGTCTAAGCTTTTTATCTTTACATGTTGTTAATAATTGTGATCCATCAAAATTCCAGGATGCACTGAATACTATATCAGGATGACAATCAATATGGATAAGTGGTTCACCAACACCAACATTCCATATTACAACTTGATTATCAGATCCTAATAACATATAGATTAAAATATAAAATTGGTATAGCAGAGTTGTGCTACCAACAAATAGTCCCAAAATATACACAAACAATAGAAAAATAATATTGAACAACAATATAAAAATATATATTAAACCAGTGAAGAAGGTATTGTACAATTAAAATTGAGCTTAGATGTTAACACAAAAATATGAAAATTATGAAGGTATAACTTTTGTGTAATTTAAAAGATGGATTGTTAGTTTTAAAACATAACATTTAAGCAGGAATATATTTTAATCAAAAATTTAAATTAATGGAATAATGAAAATGAAAAAAGAACATTTTTCAAAACATACCACATTATAAATGTATGATGTAATACATAATTTAAATTGATTTCAGGAATTTGGATTAAACAACAACCAGTGATCTTTAACAATTTATCAACACAGATATTTCTAAAGATTTTAGCTATGTTATGTATATTATAACTATGAATATTTTAATTTATTTTTTACATATCATATTATACATACCTATATATTCAAACAAAATCAAAATAGTTTTTGATTTTATCAATAAAAGATTAAGAATTAGGAATAACTTTTTGTCATAAGTTACTTTAAATAAACTTTTATCAGAAGAAATTACAATAAAAGGTAATGAACATCAACAATTTTATAACAATGATTGAAAAAAATCTTTTTCTTTTGAATATTTTTATTTTCAGTCTTATCAAAATAATGTGGTTAAAAATAAAAATAATTTTAGGATCATTGAATTATTAATATTAATTTGGTATCGTAATTTGGAAATAATTTTTTCTTATGTTGGCATAGCATTATGTGTGTTATTATGCATAGTAATTACTAACTGTTCTGCTGCGCTATCATTTTCTACATTAAAACGCATCAAGGACTATTTAGGGTACAATACGGAAGAGAATAGATTGAACTCATTGAGTTTATTAGTAATAGAGACAGGATAGGTTAAAAAAATTGATTTTGATGATGTAATTAATGATTTTTTAGCTTAGAATTACACTGAAAGTCTTTGAATGTGTAAATTAATATCTTTAACGTTTTTAAAAAAATGTATGATTTCATAGCATAGTTTTTCTTTTTATTGGCACACACTTTAAAATATATCTTTTTTTTGTACCATTATACAATATAATATAATATATGGGCAATGTATATTCTATAGTATAGTTTTATTTCATAATTATAGCTAGTAATATTTAAGAATAATATCAATGACATGTACCTTTTATCAATGTACTTAGTTCTTATAATTTCAATACTATATTATAATCTAATGGTTTTGAAAATAATATAAATTCTTATCAAAATATAAAATAAAATTATTTATTTATAAATCTAAAGAGGTGAAAACTTTTTTTTTTTGTGCTTACAGTGGCGTAATAGTTAAATCCAGCACTGTGTGAAATTATGAAGCTCATGTACAACTTAATATTCATAAATGAAACATATGATATTTGTCTTTTTAATCATTCAAGTTATTGAAGTATTGCTAATAACATTTAGTGGGTAAATTTCTTCTAAAACAAAGTTGGATATTCTATAGTTAATTCATATAGTTATGTAATCACAATAAATACATTTGTGATAAGTAATTTTGGCCTGTTTAATTTGTAAAATAAAATGCATTATGCATTAACAATACCTAGTATATATTAAATAACCTATCCTAACATCAATTAATAAAAATAAGTTGGAATATGCCCAGAAATATGAAAATTTTGAAGGTGGGTAGATAAACTAAAATATCCGGTATATCATCAAATACATAAATGATAAATATAAACTAATTATTATATAAAGTTATGCACACAGAAGATGTTGTCAATTTGAAAGCTTCATTGAGAGATGTTCTTAATGAACAAATATTGATTATTGTAGATTTATTTTTATGTAGACAGGTATATGAAAATCTATTTAATAAAACCTACCTTAGTGTACAGTCTAAAAAATAAAATAATGAAAGAACTGGAAATATATCACCACAAATGTTATGTAATGTATTGAATAACATGACAATTGTAGAGCATTATATTAAGCTTTGCTCATAATTTACATCTGATATATCATTTTTTTAAATAATAATTTAGTATGGCATCATAGGATGCCATCTAGTTTATATACTAAATTATTTTTTAATAACTATAATTTAGCAATATTATGGAAGTTTTATTATTTTAAGAAATAACTTTAAAATAAATAAAAATTACCAGCAGATAACAAAATATTTCGTGCTGTTGGATGCCATAAAACAAGACCAACTCTTCTTTGGTGGTATATTAAATCTACTACAGATTCGGTCAATGTCCTATGAAAAATAAAATAACAAATTATAAAATTAACCAAAAAATAAAAACCATTCAATTGCAGAAAGTTTAAATTTAACATACCGTGAAATTCCACCATCTGGAATTTGCCAAACTTTTACAACGCAATCTTCAGAACCGCTGGCAATCACATTGTCATTGTGTGGACACCAAGCAATGTCTAAAACAGGACCTTTATGACCACCAACTACAGGTTGATCAGCAGGTAAACGACCAGTCTGAAAAAAGTATTGCTCTTATAAATTCTTCAAATTCTATCATAATTTTATTTTCATATTTCCTATAGAATTTTAACTATAATTGAAAAAAAAAGAAAATTTATTAAAAAAAAAAAAAAAATCAATTTATGTTGCATTTGTACTAAAAATATCCAACACTAAAATTTAAAAGTACTACAAGTTTTCATTACACAAGAGAGTACAGCTGGCTTCTGAGAGAAAATTCATAATTATAAATGATATTATATTATGTTATTAATTAATTTCCGTTTAAAATTCGTTTGAGCTTCGATCATGTTGTTCATCAACTTTTTCACTGAAAGGCTGGTACCGTTGCAGAGTCGTGGTGGATTGATATTTTGTAGAAGAATGATGGGCACACCAAATTTCAATGTTAAAACGTGTGGTGGCTGCCTGGCAAATTAAGTGAATTTAAGAATTCAGTTGGATATTTGACAACTTTGTCTGGATTCGTTACGGAATCAATGACCGGTTACGTTGTCTTATTTCGAATTTCGTTTAGAATGATTGTATATACATCATAGGTTTTGGCTATCAATATAACCCGTGCATTGAGGTACTGACGAATTCTGTAATTTTGTGGTAGATTTTGGAAAACTTTGTCAATTAACTCATTGGTCGTTTCTGTTATTTTACAGAAATATGATGGAAATGTAATGCATTGTATTGATCCATGGATCGCTAGTTTCTCATTCCCCATATCTAGCAATTGTTTTGCGAAACTATCGGCTGATGGATGATTTTGTAGATTTACACAATAAAAAAATAAAAAATAAAATCATAAAAACTTTTAATGTCATAGACGCACGTGCCGTGGAAACAAATAATAAAAAATAATAATAACAAATTCAAGGATAATAATATTTTTTCCACTAATTATTATTATTATTATTGTAATAGCAACTATCTTTGAAAAAAATGTCCAACGAAAATCTCAAAATGTCTGAGCACTTCCCGGGGTTGGGCCTATCACTTTTTAACTTAGCTTATCTTCTGTCCATAGGTCTAATATATCTAGGTACCAAATTTCGTCGCAATCGGTCCAGCCGTTTAAGAATGCATAAAGGACCGACAGAAATTAATTTTTATATGTATATAGATAATGTAATATAATAATACATAATATTAGGTATATAAATACGTACTAAGAATCTTTATTAAATTAATTTTTAAAGCTAGTAGGATTTTAACTTAAATTAATGTTTTCTATAGTTGATTTTTTTGCTTTCCCATTTAAATAAATTTTTGCTAAAAAATATATTAAAAATATTATTATTATAACAACTAAATATTTGTTCAAAAATATAAATTTATACGTTTTATCTACAGTGATAAGATATTTATTTTATTGAACGCTTCTTTAAATTTAATATTTTTTATTTCATCGAAGTTAATAGGTTTGGGATAGGATTGATTTAAAGTTAAAAATATTACAGCATGAATCATTCATAAGAGATAAGTTTAATGAAACTGAGAAATATAATTGATTTAATATTTGTTCAGTTTTTAGTACACCTTTCGAAGTGTGAGCAATACACACCCAGACTTCAAGTATAATTTTCCAGAACTTTTAACTTTATTTTCGTTAATTACAAATTATAGTAGTTGTAGTGTGGTTTTCACATACAAAAATGTATTTAATCGTAATAAATTTATTATTTTACATGTTCTTTAAAAAGTTATAAATATAATTCAAACTGTATAGTATTATAAAAGATGCTTTATGTAACGAAAATATTATTTAATTAAACAGGAGCTTTATTTAAGAAATGGTTTGTAACTTGCGCTAGGATCGAACGCGCCACATTCTAGTGAAGACAGTACAGAATCATAGGCGGACACCTGGTGGCTTGGAGGGGCTTAGCCCCTCCCCCAAATCGAAACTTTGTTAGAAATTTTATTCGTTCTTTTTATAATTATCTGTTCGTTTTTTTGAAAATCGTAAAATAAGAAATAATAAAAAACTATTTACAATAGCATTAACAATACCAATTAGTTTGACTACTTGCGAAAGAAATTTCAGTGCAACGAAAAAATAAAAACTTGGCTCATCGTTAGTTCAAGATAGGTTCATCGATCTTTCAATACAATATATTGAAAAAGATATATCAAAAAATATAAAAAGCAATGATATTTTTAATATCTTTGCTGATACAAATATATATTTGTAATTCAAATAAAATATTTATTATTTTTAAATATACGATATTGACTGTTTTTTTAATACAATTTAAACATATCTATATTTTTAATAGTTATAAGTTTTACTTGTGCATAAGAAGGGGTGTGATGGTGAAGTCCCTGGAGGTGTTTTTACATTGAATTATTATAGCCCACCCCCCCCCCCCCAAAAAAAAATTCAACCAAATGTCCGCTTATGTATAGAATTCATAAGAAATACATAAATGACAATATTTACGCAACGATCGACTGACGCTAAACGTTCTATACAACTGTTAAGTGAGATAATTATGTCCCTCTTCCAACGATCACGACGTGCAGATCTCGTCACGTAGACAATGGGCGCGGTTACGAACTGCCGAAACGGCGGCGATACAACGCCATCTATGGAACGTTGTGTACGTTTTACTTTCAGTATAGCATCCTCTTAACATTAGGTCCAATCCCGTATTTAAGATTTCTCCGCCAAGGGGCAACAACATTTTACCGCCCCTCTTCCCTGAAGTGTAAAACAAAAAATAAATGTCCCCAACTATTCATTGAAAACCCGCTCGCAATTAATTTTCCCCGATTTCAGTATACTATTACACAATATTTGTAATTAATATCAAATCCAAAATGATAACTGGGTTATAATTATATAAATAAAGTTACAGAAAATTGTCTTTTATAAGATAATAGTGGTGCCATTTAATAATTTAGTATCTTTCGGTTTGAATGTCCCATCCCCATACAAATCAACATTAAACCAATATCTCTCAATAAAATACTATGTCAAATAAAATTTTGTACGCTACTAAATAATATTTATGATTTTATAGTAAAACATTTACTTTTTATATAATTTTGTACCTTTTTTGTTCGTTTTTTCCAACCATTCACTACCAAAAAACTATTTAGTTTTAGGTATGAAAGATAGAAAATATTTTTATAAGGGTAAAATAATAATAACCCACACACACACACACACATATTATTTTGATTCTGGGGCATGAAGTGTGCTATGTGTTGCAGCATTGTTTCAATTCTCAGGACCGTAACATTTACGTCACTATACTCGACCAAGTAGCTGTTTAGCAGTAGGTACCCCACTGTTTTAGGTATGAAAGTTAGAAAATATTTATATAAAGGTAAAATAATAATAATAATAACCCACATCCACATATTACTCGTATTTAGATTAGATAACATTTATTGAGCAATAGTTAATTAACGGAAACCAATAATTGTAGTGATAGTGAATTAACGGAAAAGATCATAATTTTATTTATTCATAAATAATTTCCATTGAGAATGTGAAAAAAATCGATTTTATTTTAAATCACCGTAAAAATATTGCCACCCCCTTAAATATTATTTCCAAAAATTTTGATTTATTTTTGTTTTATAAAATATTTTATATTTTGATAGTCTGGTAGAAAATAAGAGTTGTCAAGTATCAAGTGTTGCTTAAAAATAAAAATACATTTTTATTATTATTAAAAAAAAATCAATACATTTTGTCTTAATTTATTTTGATTTATTTATTTTAGATTCAATATTAAAATAGTATAAAAAAAAGGTATTTGGGCCGCGAACCTTTGATGTATATATATAGCCCATTGGTAATTTAAATTTGAGACCACTGTTCTAAATGATACGGTCCGGTCCAGTTTGGTTTCATTTTTTCTTTATTTCATCTGCCCGGTCTGGTCTTAGTTTAAGTTAAAATGTAACAGTTCGGTCTGGTCTTTAAAAAAACAAACCGTGCAATGCTCTAATACACATATATTAATACTCGATAAACACTCGTAATAACTTTAAATTTCACTAAAACTTTGCATTAACAACAGTCACGAAAAAAATTGTTAATTCAAAAACTATACTATAGTTATTTATTAATAAAAATATAATTCTATATATTATATATATTATATAATATATTTCTCAAATAAATTTGGCAAAAAATAAAAACCATTCAACCTTTAAAGAGATGACAATGCCAAAACTCTTTGGAACACATAAGTTTCCTACCTAAATTTAGAATTAAAAATACTCAAGCGACTTAATTATAGGTACAATATTGTATTATATTAGTGAAATTATCTTTATATATTTAAATTATTAAAGTATTAATAAAGTAAAGAAAATACTTTAGGTGAAAAAAAAAACAATAAGGAAAATAGTAAGATTAATGTTCAATTGTACTTCTATGTGAACATACGTCACACATATCTTAATGATGAGTCAGGAACTCCATATATTACTTACATTACTGGCTGGTATAAAATATTTGTTTACACTTTACACTTATAGCTATATTACAAGTATTAACATATACCAATATAAAATGTTTCTTTAATTTTTTTTATAGGAAATAATTATATTTTAGACTTTTATAAAACATCAACAATTTTTTTAAACGAATTCAACAAAAATTCGCTAATGGTATTGGTTGATAAACTTTAAATCATATTTTATACGTCAATGGTAAACAAAAAAACGAATATTAAGTTAAAAAAAACCCTAATCAGCTTGTCAATATCGAGGTTGGAGATTCGTTTTTATTCTATCCGTATTCTTGAATCTTGGCAATATTATATACGTGAACTATCCAAGAATATTAATTATGACGTCATATTCAACAAACATAAATACTTAACATGGCCTCAATGAAATACTAAATAATACCATACTATTATGATTAATTTTAAATATATATTAAAAGAAACTGAGGTTTTTCAAGCAGTTGGTGCTAATTTATCCAATTTATAAGACTCGTACATTTTTAATTAAACTAAAAACAATATCCATATTGAAAAATTTACTGTTTAATGAATTTAAAATAGTTAATAATACAAAATGAATTATACTTACAATACTAAATGTATTAAAATATCATTAAATAATTTAAACAAATTGAGCGCAAGGAAAAATTGGAATTATGCACACGGCACATCCGGTCAAATGTATTTTTGATGATTTTAATCTCCAAGGAGAACTTTAAATATAGAAATCATGAGGAACATAGTTAATATATATAAATTATTGTAGACGAACGTCACTATATGTGGTTGCCCTAATTATGTCAAGTATTATGCGCGAAAAAATAAACAAATCAAAATTTAAAATATTAATAGATAATAACGTAGTTTTATCACAACTGTTGAACATAGAAATCATAAATAGATCAATAGTTATTGATAGTAATTATGAAAAATAGTACTACTTAATGTACTAAGAAGTACAAAGCTTAGACTGATGTCTCCCTTGATTTGACTTTTAGCAATTATCTCCAAAAGAAAATGTATAATTAAAATATTTACAGTTAGTAAATTTAATTAATTTAACACTTATTAATACTAATTAAATTTTATACAAACAATAATCTAACAAATTAAAAGCCTAAGTTCATAATTTGTATATCAATTAGAAGTAATTTACACAGAATTGTCGAAGAAAAATATATTTTTTCAACGTATTAAACTTTAATGAATTTATCCAAATTAACTTCTTAATTCATACTTACTATCTACTACATTCTAATTATTTTAATACTGTGAAAAAATTACGTAATTTTAAAATTAAAGTTTAAATATAATGAGTCAAAACTAAAATTTTAACAATAACAAAATACTTTTAGTATTAAGTTATTTTTTTTTTGATTGTTATTTACTACAAAATATTTTTACCAATGATTCTACATTGTATAGATCATATTTAAGGTACTTAAATAATAAACTTCAAGAATTCATGATTTATAATAATTTTAAAATCGGTATTAAATTATTTTCATGAATAACTTATGGTGGAAAAATCTTTGTAATAGACAAAAAAAAAAATCTAGAAAAATCGTTGTAATCTTTATAAAAATTTTGTAATAGACCTAATCCATTAACAAAACAATTGAAACTAAATAATACTATTTTCTATACAATATAAAAAATGATGTTTATGGAATTAAGTTGTTGAATAAATAATATCAGAAAATTAATCCTATAAAATGACCATTTTTAAATTTTACAAATAAAAAACAAATTAGACTTTTTTTACTAAATTATTTATATTCATTTTTAAAATTAAAATTATTATCTAAAACACAACATGAGTTTTCTAAAAAATAAACAACATTTCATTATCTTTAAAAACACAAGAGATATTCTGAAGAGAAAGTTCTTTTGGGGTATATATAGCATAAGAAAGACATCCCTAATTATAATAAGCATAACACGTTCTATGTCGCTCCGATTTATTATCGTTTGCGTCGAGGACTATAATAAGACATTTTAAACCTCTCAATTATTAGTTGACGCAGGCGTAGCGCGAAGTGTTTAATGGTTTGCATACCAATGTTTTTATTTTCTTATTATAATAAAATATTTTATAAAAAAGTAAAAAAAATTATAAATAGTACAGTATAAGCTGCATCCATACCTAACAAACATCTAAAGAAATATTATTTGTTGAAGGGTGTATCGAAATAACAAACATTTTATTTGTTCGTCTATAATATAAACATATAGACCCTATATGTTTGCTGGATTCATTAATTTACAGGTATGATTAGACCTAGGAAGTTGTTGCATTTGCATTTTTTTCTATTGTTCGAATTTATTGCCCAGTATGTTATAAATTCTGTACGACTTCTTCTCCTTCGCCTTTCTCCCAACTATTTGGGGTCGGCCACCCTTGTCCAAAACCTCCACTTAATTTTCTACATCCTCTATACACGCACCAATTCATACCATTCTCAATCATATTCAAACATCTCTTTTTTGGACTTCTCTGCCTCTTTTCCTTTTAACATTCCATGCAAGTACAAATTAAAATCTAAAAAATTTAGTATAACTTTATACAATTTTTGGCATTTTTTAATTTGATTAAAATTTCGTTATATATAAATTTCCTTTTATATTATACAATGTTAGATACTTATAATTATTATTCACATGATTTAATTTTTTTTTTTATGTAAGAAATAAAATAACAATAGGAGGATAAGGGCCGTGTCAGAATATTATAATAATAATAAATATATAATTTATGGTTATTTTGGGCCTTGTCGATTGTAATGATAGCGGTGGAAATATTATTTGATAAGACATTTCAAGGGTAGCACAACTCGCTTTCCTTAAATCGGAGATCTTTCGAGTTTGAGAACTTAAAGAAATTATTTATCGTGCAAAAATAATGCAATTTTTAAGTACAATTTTGATTTTTTTTTCACTGCAATAATGCAATAAATTTTATGTTTTTTAGAGCAATAATTTCCGAACCCTAATTATGATTATGAAGTTTTTAGTCGTATGAGTATGAACTGCTTTTATAATTATTCAAAATTATTAAAAAAATAAAAAGAAGCACAGAATTAAGAGACGATAAGACTTCAGCAACAATATTTTAGTATAAGTGCACCTGGCAATTATTTTATGATTTTTGTCTTTTAGTAGAGAACTTATTATTTTCTAATGCATACATTCAATGTATCCAAGCAGTCAATATCAGAAATTGTACCAAAAGTACATGAATCATTAGTATCTTTTTTAGATGATTTGGATATAGGTATGATTTTCCTATACATAATTTACAATATTCCAGGACACATGAGAATTATAAATTAAATTTACAAATATTAACTATTGGTTTTTATATTTTTTAGATTATACTAGTATCAACTTTGACCAAATTTCTAGCAGAAGATAATTTAAAATATCAACCCTACCTCCAAATGTATACTTCAATTTAAAAAATAATACATATTAAATAAATAGTTATTTGTAAAATAAAATTGTTCGGGAACATATTAATAGCGGTCAAACTTTTGTAAAATGTTTTTTAGGTTAGATATAAATTATACGAATATGATATCAGGGACATATTAAGACTTACTTCTGGGGGAGGTGACTAAAATTTTTTCTTTAATTTAGGGTCAAAAAATTTACAATTAAAATTTTAGTAACATTTAAATTAGGTGAATCCTTAATATTTGTGGTTGTTTTTTTTTTTAATCTTATGCTGGATCCACTTAGAATCGACTTTTGTGTAGTTCTTTTTTAACACCTGTCTGTGTTTTGAAAGTTACACTTGTGTTTTATTTGAATTTTCACTAAGTATGGACCTGACAAAAAGCCTAATTTAGTATTCATAACCACGCGTAATTTGATTTTGTTATAAAATGATCCACATTAAAAAAATGTGAAATGTATATCTAGTATATCTAATGTACATATTATCAATTCCTTAAATACAGATTCAGGGGAGGGATTGCCCTTCGCCCCCCTAAAATACGCCCACAAAGTATTTATAGATAAATCCATATTTATATTTTATATTTTTACTGTTTATCAGAAATAATATAATAAATAATAATTTAGTCATTGATTAAACAAATTCAGGAAAATTAAGTAATCCTGAAATAATAAATATTATTTAATTTTCATTAAAAATAGCTCTTATATTGAATTATAGCTTACTTATTATACAACAACTTTCTTCCAATTTTATTCTAAATCAAATACTTATTACAGCAAATATGTTTATTATTTTTATTTATTACTTAGAAAAACCAGTATACTTGAATTATTTTGTTTTCTCTTCCAACAATATGGGTTTGATTACTCTAGCTTCCATAAATCTAGATCTTCAATATACCTCATATAAATTAGCTATCGTTATACTACTTCCAACTAATTTTTTTTCTTTTTTTCTTCATAATTATTATCTGGATTACAACTTTATACAACATGTTCAAACTAATTCATTCTATTTTTTCGATGGTTTATGTCCTCATATATGTATTACTAATTGTTTTCAAATAATTTCACTTACGGTAAGACATAAATGGTGTTTTCTCTATTGCACTCATTATTGAATAGTTTTCTAGATAATCAATGACAATTGTAACATTGTCATTAGTCTACAATTTATTTCTTAGGGTATTAAGAGTAAAAATAAAATATGATTGTCATGGTTTGAACATTCATAAATAATCTAAAAACCAGATGTAATAAGAAATAATTTTAATGTAATATTTATATTTTATGTAGAAATTTAATAAAAAAATTCTTACATTTCAGTTTATTTTAATTCTTCAATTGAACATTCTAAGTTAATATTTTTTGGCACAAAACAACATGACAAATATATGAGTTAGATACAGCTTTTTTTTTTCTTAATATAAAATTAATTAATATACTTTTTGTTGACTTTTCTTTTAATGTATAAGTTTATTTAACTCTAATCGTCTTAAGTGTAATTTTATAAAACAATTTAAAATTCCTATAGAAAGAGTACCACCGTAAATTTATAATTAATTTGAATATTATGATAAAAATACTTAAACTAAGAAAAAAAAAAATACATATATAGATAAAGAACTTACCTTTGAAAGAGGTAATACTATAAAAGCTCCTCCACCAGCTGATTCAACAATACAAGCAAGAAACTTTGGGTTTACAGTACAAAATGTAGAATCCCACGAAGATTTAGATACACGAATATTATCATAACAATACTCTCGTTTTAGAGCTGTTCCATAAACATGGCGAAATTTACTACTTCTTACTTTAAAAGACATCTGCGAAAAAACAAAATTAATATAAGTATAATTAAAATAGTTAAGATAAGCATTTATCAAGTATGTTTTATATGAATAAATTGTTAATGTAAAAAAATTCCACAAATACGAAGTACAAATTTACTTAAATACAATAAACTTCATTTAATATTTACTAAAACTTGTATAGGTACCAGACACAAGATTAAATATATTTTATTTTACATTTAACTAAACTTTACAAATGCATTCAACTTTGATTCAATAATAATAATTATTCTTATATTAACAATTTAGCAATAATCATAAATTATGAATTTTTAAAGATATTTCAAAAATTAAACATTTAACTATTTTATATTAAAGGTTTAGTTCAAAATTAATAGATGTAGCGTTTAAATACTTCAAAATTCCTAATAAAATAATCTCACAATTTATTATTTTCATTATAATAAGTTTGCAGCAGTATTTTATAAAATAACATATTAGTGATAATATTCATTATATACTTAATTGACAGTTAATTATTATTTTCCCCATATATTAAAAATACCAGGTAGCAAATTTCATTAAATGGCTTAGTTTTTAACAGGGTCGCTAAATAAATCCTTTATATTGTGCATTCACCTTACAATTATTGGGAGGCTGGTACCTATATCAGGTGACTAATTGTATAGCACTCAGGTTTATTTACAAATATACTTATAACATTATAGCATGTATACTAGATAATATAAACCATAGATAATTAGTGAGTTTCATTCAATTTCTACCATACATAATATGTATGTTATATTATAATATAAATTATACATATAATTAAAAAAAAATCCGGTAGCTGATTACAATAAAATTCACAATTTTTATCCTATTTTTAATACAGGATTATTAATTTTTTAATACAGCAAAAAGGCTCATTTCTATATTATAAAGTGGTATAATTTTTATTATATTAGGACTATATAGATCATAAATAATATTATAAAATTAGAGTCAAGTATAGTAGTAGCATTAATCATACAAAAAAGTGAAAGAATCAGTTGTGATGATTTTGATATTATATAAGAAAAATAAAGGAGTCAGCAAAAAAATGAATGAATAAGAAAAAACAGATAGAATAAGTTAAGGGAAAAAATAGTTGGATACAAATTAGAATGTCAAGAAGGTAATTGGTATGTGCAGGTAAAAGGGATATAGTGGAAGGATGGCTAATATCATAGTTAAGAAGGAATTTAAGAAATATAACTTTAATGGATGTATTATACTTAATTTTTTCTTAAGTATTTAAAAACTTGAAATAATATAAATAATTTGAACTCAATTTAAAAACCCCACATTGTAAAATAAGACTTACTCTAGATTGAAAATTAAAACAAAATTTTCAACATCATTTTAATAAACTACTAAAACTATAAAATTATATAGGTTTTATAGGCTAGTAAACAAAATGGTCGCAATAAGTACTTTAACATTAGGTTAATTCCAGAAATTAGACCTAAAATTATTAATTTTAACTTTAATAAACATAATACTAATATTTAATAAATTTTTATTGTTTTAATCAAGTGTAACATTGTCCCAAGAATGTAACTAAAAATAAACAAACTTAAATCATTATATGGAAAAAAATAAGCATATCCAATAGATGTCCTCTAAAATATTATCAATGACTAACATTCATTGGAAATGACAGAATCCAAAAATGGGCGTGTAACTAAGGCATGTATGTTATAACTAATAGATCTAGTTATTTATAAAAAAAATGTAATCCTGCTCAGACTATTACTACATGGTAATGGTAATACAGTATCATAATTTAAGTTGAAAAAATATTAGGTAAACCATAAAATAAAATTAAAAACCATTTACAATATTGCTCCACGCCCCAAAAAGGTAATAGTTTTAAAGCTTTTTTAAGAAATACGAAAATTAATTAGAGTTATTGAGTCACCAACAATTGTTAGGATTGAAAATAGATATTATACGTGTTCTCACCTTAGTGACTCATGCAAAAAGAATTTATCTTATTAAATGTTGTCCCGGCGTAATTCTAAGAAATGGCTAATATGAAGCTTTAGTGGTCAGCTTTATATAATTGGGTTGACTGTGTATCGTTACTGAATTCCAAAAAAAAATTAACTTCGTTGTCAATCAATTGATATAAGATCGCGTAAAATTGTCAGAACTTCGGTTCGATTGCGAGGCGCGGGGGGAAAATTAACACAAACAACGGCACGACGAACTGACGTGAATCGGAGGGAAAAAAAGGTCCGTTTAATATCACTCTACCATATTTGGAATTTGCGAATGGAAACGCGACGGCTGAGTACTGAAACGGGACGACGGATGGGGGTCGCCCGCCGGTTTATTTACAATCTACGAGACGCAGTGTGCCACAAGCACAACATCACAGTACCACCAACCTTGGAAACTCCCCACACACTCACCCGGTGAAAGGAAGTTCTGTGATTATTTACAATGCATCATTAATTAACAATTAATTAATTAAGTGTTGCTCCGTATTGTACGTTATTGCTCTTGTCGCCGACAATATTAACGATATCTCTGTCAACTATGTGTTAATACAGACGTAGTCGTTTTCGTAAATGATATTTAAAATTTTTTTACGATAATAACATTTTTTACAAAAATAAAAAAATTATTAATAGTACATTGTATATTGTACACTAAAATAATAAATACACTAATACATATATTGTATGATATGTACATAGAGCCTGCGCAAGCAAATATTGATAGGGAGGAGGAATAAATATCCAAATTACTAACTAAAACAAAGTTCTTCTTCTTTCAGGCATCACAATTCTTCAAGAGTTTTTGCCGCCACCTACACCTTCCACTCTTCTTGGTTTTGTACTGTTTATCCTCAATTTGGTATCCCTAGTTTCTCTAAGTCCTGCATTCTAAGTCTATTCATCGATTCTTTGGACGTCCTCTTGGTATCTGTCCTGTGGATTTCCACTCGAGCACCATTTTAAGGTACTTTGAGTCTAATCTTATCCCGTGCTCAAACCATTTGATTCTCTGTGCATTCATAGGGTTGCCATACGTCCCAGAAAAACAGGATTGTCACCGGTTTTAAACTTCACGTCCCTGTGCCTCGAAAATATTTTTCGAGACGTCCATATGTCCCGGCCTAGACGTTTAGAGTTAATGCAGTATTGTGTAATTTTTAACTTCGACCATTTTATCTCTAAGTACATTTTTAATCGTAAGTGATTAACAATGTATAATAAAAACATAATTTGTAATTTACACATACATATAATATATAATATATTTTATTTTACAACATTTTTTTCAAATATTATATTGCCGGCCATTAATGATCCTCTTCAGTCGCGTATACTTTTGTAAACTTTTGTATGGAGGGGATAGTTTGTAAACAAATCATTATTTTTATTTAATCGTTATTTTTTTTTTTACGTTTCTAACACCCTCGCACTAAGAATATTATTTTATAACATTTAAAAAAAGCCTAGGGGGATCTGATCCCCACATCTCCCCCTTGTATATTGTGTTTGTGTTGTTCCGGTTTCGCCTTATAAATGTATGGCAACCCTATGCATTCATAAAGTTAGTTATCCTTGGACAGAGCCGAACTGGCCCACTGTGCTACTGTGCATTAGCACAGTAGGCCGCGTCCGTGAAAAAAATCTTTACTGAGATCACAGAATAGTGAACAGATTATCTGTTTATAGTACCTTGGTACCTAATTATATTTTTTAAATGATCTCAAAGCACGATTATAGAAAATCCTACATATATTATAAATTATACTGAAATCTGATCCGACTCAGCTTCTTGGCAGTAAGTCTAGTATTTACCGTGCTTAATACATATGATATATTATGTATATTGTATATATTTATGGTACACATGTTATAATAATTAATGTTATCACAGATGACGGAATAAATAAATTGATAACTAAGCTCGTGACGGACCGTATGATCATATTATTATTATATTCTGTGGTATTCTATCGTCATATCCGTTTTTGGCTATTGCTTGTCAAAATAAAATGTTGTCTAAGTTTTTCTAATGGTGGGCACAAAAATAAAGTAAATTGTACGTTTAATATTTGTTATAAACGTTTAAAAAAGATATTTTTAATTATTAATTCGAAATAAAATAAATTAATTCACAAAAAAAAATATTGTATTTTTATTAAACTCTACTAATTCTTTTTGTATTATTTTAAAGCGTACACTTTAGTACAAAGTAAATTTATTTTGTATAGTATCATGGGACATGGATTATGGATAACATCACATAACTAATCATGATTTTTTAATATAAAGGTTATAAGAAAGTTCCCCCCCCCCTTTAAACTCTTTAAATCATACCAAATATCAATTTTGTGAGAAACACATTTAAACATTTTAATAAATTGTGGGCCGCCTGTTTACCTAGAATATTAGGTCGGTAACCTCCTAGTTCAGGCCTGTCCTTAGAACTTGTGTCAAGTTTTGAATCTTCTTATTCCTTCTTCTGCGTCAACATCCCAGTTCATTGTCATATACTAGGTCATAGATATTTCTCATTATTTTGTTTTCGAACCACATAAGTTTTTTTTTCATTCTACCTGTTAAAGTCCATACCTCACATCCATATGTTAGGATTGATCTAATTATCACCGTGTAGGTATTCACTTTGGTTCTTCTAGAAAACAGTTAAGATATTAGGTATTTGGTTATCAAAAATGATGCCTTTTCTGCCTTAATGATTCGGTTATTTAATTCGATGAACCAGTCATTATTAGGTACCACTGATAATGGTGCCCAAATATGTAAATTGATACTCTTTTGTAAATGTATGTCCTTCAATCTTTGCATTGTTGGCTTGATTATTCTTTGATAATAATTCCATCACTTTGGTTTTATTACCATTCACATTCAGCCCTGTGGCTTTTACTTTGTCGATAAAAATTGAGGTATCTGCGCCAAACTCTCCCCATCGTCAACAACTATATTTCAATCGTCTGTAAAACCTAGGATACTAATCTTGTTTGTACCGATGTCGATACTGCAGTTATCCTTCTGTATTTTTTTTTTTTTTTTATGCGCTATTCAGGCTTTTTGCAGTTTCTACCAATCCTCTCCATACGTCACGGTCAGTAGCGATCTCAATGTCTGATGTTCCGTCTATCATCCTTATATCTGCATTGACTCAATGTTATGACTAACTGTAATCTTCCCACCATTGTCGAGATCTTCCCCTGGGGCGCTTGCCAGCTGGTTTATTTATCAGTACCTCCCGAATTATGCTTTCTTCAGCGCGCCACAGATGGCCTACCCATTCTAAATGCTTGGAATTTAGAAAGCATTTATGACTTAGTTTATTGTACAGAGATTCCAAAATGATATTTTTTCTCCTTTCATAAACCCCAGTTGTTTAATTTCTGATAGAACCGTATACTTTCCTCAGCACTTTTCTCTCGAAGGTAAGAAGTTTCTCCTCATCCCCTCTAGTTGTTGACCACGTCTCACAAGCATACATTACTATATGGCGTAAATATGTTACATACAATTTTTCCTTTGTCGCCCATGATAGGATTGCATGATTGCATGATAGTATTTTTGAGCTTAATAATTTATTCTTTGAGAATTATGCTTGGTTCGCCGAGTTAATTCTAAAATTAATTTCATTATGCATGTCATTTTTATAGTTTATATTCACCACCAAGTACTTAAAATCATCGACCTGTTCGAATGTGTATGGTCTGACCATTAGATTGTTCTTAGCGGGCGTATGGCGTATAATTGCATGTATTTTGTTTTTGCTTTGTTAATTGTGAGACCCATCTTCCGACTAGTTGCAATGAATTTTTCCACAGTGTATCCTACCTCTTGGCAACTATTTCCTAGTATGACAACGTCATCCGCATACGCCAGTATTGTCTTGTTTTTATTGAGCTCCATTACTCGGTCTTCTCCTACATCTCTAACTACTTGTTCAAGAGCAAGGTTAAACAAAATGGGAAAGAAGGCATCTCCCTGTTTTAACTCCGATTTTACTTCAAATGGGGGGGATAGATCCCCCTGCTATCGAACTTTGCAGAATGTGTTTGAGTTGCATATTTTAATCATTTTTATTAATTTATTTGGAATACCTAGATTCATCAACGCAATCCATAACTGATCTCTATTTATGCTTTCATAGGCTTGCTTAAAATCAACGAAAACCCTGTCGAGCTCTTTATCGTATTCTTAATATTTCTCCATAATTTGTCTGATAGTAAATATATGGTTTGCAGTTGATTTCCCTCTTATAAGCACATTTTGGTATTCTCCAATAATATCAGTTGCATAGTTTTCCAACCTGTTGAGAATTTTCAGAGACATAATCTTATAGCTTGTATCCAAAAGGGAGATTCCTCGGTAGTTTTCGACTTCTGTTGGATCTTCCTTTTTGAAAATCGGACAAATGATTGCCATATTCTAGTCCGGTGGTACTTTTTCTCTAGTCCGTACGTTATGAATTAACTTGTGTATTTCAGTTATTAATTGTTTTTTTGCCAGTTTAATTAACTCCGAATTTATGTTATCCTTTCCAGGAGCTTTATTGTTTTTGAGAGTAATTATTATGATTTTAACTTCATCCAATATATGTTTTAAAATCTCTAGTTCCGCTGCATGGTAGATTTTTTTTCGTAGGATATGATGTTATCCCCTATATTGTTGTTAAAATTCTATTAAAAAACTCCATCAAGTGTAGGGAAATTTTCTTAGTATCTGTTATAAGGTTTCCATGTTCGTCCTTCATTATTGACGCTCTTGCTTCCTTGCTTGACTTACCTTGCTTTACTTGCTTGAGATCAAGTATTGCCGACTGAAATCTAATTTATGTAGTATAAAATATAAATATTGTATTTCACATTTATTTATTATGTGTTATAAACAAATTTAATAATTAATATTTTGTATAAAAAACGTTTATTACACTTCCATGTTACACGTGTAATTACTTATTAATTAATTAACTTATTATAAATTGAAAATTTAAAAGATAATAAAATAAAAAAATATTCATAACAATTAAATAGTCATAAATAATTAAGTAAAATATAAATAATCATACATATTATTAACTCATAAAAAAAAATTATATATACCTATTTAAAATACCTACTTCCTACAAAATGTATACAATTATACGGCGTTCTTTTAAAGTTGCCCAAATTTTTTATCATTGTACTCATATTTAAACTGTCGTTATTTATATTACATTATATTACATATTTATACTGTCGAGTACCTATATCGTTAGTAGTGTTGAGTATAAGTAAGTTGTTCAAACGCAGACATGGTTGTTCTTAAATCACTT